GAGAGAGAGAGAGAGAGAGAGAGAGAGAGAGAGAGAGAGAGAGAGAGAGAGAGAGAGAGAGATTAAACAACGCAGAGTGGTTGATGTATGAAGGATATTGAGAGCGTGCTGTGAAATCACGAACCTGCCTATTCTCGCGTGTAGGTTCATGATCTCCAAGCACGAACCCTAATTAGGATTGATTTTGCTCGTGCGGATGTTTAACGTCTTTTTGCCCTCCCTTACCCCGCTCATCCCTCGTCTCTCAGTCTTTTGTGTCGCACAGTCTCTTGTGATTGCGCCTAACCCTATTTTTGGCTTCAGCCTATTTGTGTCGCACAGTCTCTTGTGATCGCGCCTAACCCCTTTATTCGTGACTTCTTGAACCTATTTTTGGCTTCAGCCTATTTGTGATTTCACTCCACTATTGCTTCTTTGAGCCTGTTCCTATTCAGCCTGTTTATAATTTCACTTCGTTCTGCCTTCTTCCCCCGAATACAGCGTACGGTCATTTATAGCTGTATTTTTTGGGGGTATCTTTCAGTCTAAATACAGCTATAATGACCGTACGTTTTATTCGGGGGAAGAAGGTAGTCGTGATTTGAACCTATTCTTCTTCGTCCTATTAACCTCAGGAAGACAAAAAAAAAAAAAAAAAAAAAAGCGCTTCGAATCCCTCCACGATCTGTTTCACGTCCGCTGTAACGCTATTTGTGACTCCGGTTCTGGTCGGGATCCCAGTTTCCTCATCATGGTTAGCAACCGTCAGCTGCATTGTCCTCCTCTTCCCCCTCCTCCTCCCCTTCCGCCTCCTCTCCTTCTTGTCCTTCTCCGCTCCTCCTCCTTCTTATCCTCTCCTTTTCCCTCCTTTCTCTTCCTTGTGCTTGTTATCTTTCCTCGCTCTCCTCCCTCCCTCTCCTCCGCATCCCCCTCTCTCCTCTTCTCCTTCTCCTCCTTTTCACATCATCATCCTTCCTCCTCTTTAGATCCATCAAGCGATACTGCCATGGCTGCGCTGTGTTCTTCTCTTCCTCTCCTCTTCCTGTCCCTCCCCTCTTCCTGTCCTCCTCATGATGAGGGAAATGAGGTGGATACCGTTCTTTTTTTTTTTTTTTTTTTTTTTTTTTTCGTTCGGAGTTCTCACATCTGTTTCCTCAGTCGCTATGGAACTTCCACTTCCTCTCCTCTTTAATCCCCCTACTCCTTTCCCCTCCTCCCTTCCCCTCCTCCCTTCCCCTCCTCCCTTCCCCTTCTTCTTCCCTCCCTTCCTTCCCCTCCTCCTCCCTGCCTCTCCTCCTCCCCCAGCCCCCTCCTCCTCCTCTCCTTCTCCTCCTCTTCACGTCATCATCCTTCCATCTGCCTCCATCTCCAGATCCATCAAGCCACAGCCATCGGTTGGCCACGTTCTCTCGTCTTCTCCTCTTCCTCTCCTCTTCCACTCCTTTTCCTCTCCTCTTCCTTTCCTCTTCCTCTCCTCTTCCTGTCCTTCTCCTCTTTCTGTCCTCCTCATGATGACATCGATAAGGATCGATACCGATGATTCCCGCCCTTAGTCTTTTTTATTCCACTTTGGCAACTCTTCTTTCAGTCGCTAAAACTCCCACTTCCTCTCCTCTTTTCGCGCCCTCCTCCCTTCCCCTCCTCCTCCATTCCTCCTCTCTTCCCCTCCTCCTCCCTGCCTCCTCTTGCCCCCCTCCCCCCTCCTCTCCTTCTCCTCCTCTTCACATCATCATCTTTCCATCTGCCTCCATCTCCAGATCCATCAAGCTACTGCCATGACTTCGCTGCGTTCTCCTCTTCCTCTCCTCTTCCTCTTCCTCTCCTCCTCCTGTCCCTCTCCTCTTCCTGTCCTGACGATGATGACAGCGATGGGGGTGACAACGATGATTCCCGCCCTAAGTCATCTTCTTCCATTTTGTCATTCCTTTCCCATCTGTTTCATCAGTAGCTGCGCATCTCCCACTTCCTCTCCTCTTTCCTCGCCCTCCTGCTTTCCCCTCCTCCCTCTCTTCTCCACCCCCTCTGCGTCAGGGGAGAGGGGAGAAGCTTCTTCTTCTTCTTCTTCTTTATTTTTTTTTATTTTTTTTTTATTATTATTATTATTATTTTTTAAATTTTAAATTTTTTAACTTTTGGGGGGAACATCAGATGCGGGAGGGGATAATCTACTGTTGGTCCGTTGTGGTGCTCTCTCTGACTGACGTGTTTTTGTACTGTTGTCGGCTTCTCTCTGCAGTGAGTGGGCTGTTCATGGACATAGGCCTGCATTCCGGCCAGGTGCAGGCTTTGCAATAACTAACCCTTTTTTTTTTCCCTTCCCCCCCYCCCCCCCCGCCAAACCCCTTTTTCAGGGAATACCGAAAATTTTGGCCAACACGACGAAATACTGCACAAATAGATCCGGAGAAAACGTTTAGAAACACACATGAGAATGAACTTGCCCCTAGAAGATGGCCAGATGCACCCGTCACATTTTTGTCTTTTCGAAACACACAAGTAACGCACGACATGAGCTCAAGGCCATCGCCACAACACTCTCGAAATGTGCAAAATGAGAACGAACTTGCCCCTAGAACATGGCCAGATGCACCCGTCACATTTCTGTCGTTTTCACATTTTGAGAGTGGTGTGGCGGGGCCCCAAGTCCGGAAAGAACCACATGGATTCAAAAAGGGTAGGTAGGGAGTATCCTCTTTGAAAAAGGGGGTAAAAACAGAAACAGCATCACCACGTCGGGGCAAATCCACTGTCCTGCAGTACTTCCCACTTCAGGAAGGCATATATTATCACAGCAGAGCCACCATCTCTGTAGCCGCTGTCACCCTCCAAGCATGGATGCATGTGGTCAGGATCCTGTGTAGTTTCCCATGAAATGAGGATATAGCACTGGTGGGCACGTGGCCCTTAGCACCGCAGCGCGTGTTCACACAGGTTTATAGCCCACCGGATGTTTGCCAGTGCCTGCACAGCTGAATAGCACGCACGGTCATCACAGCTGTACTCACGGGGAAAAGCTTTCAGTCTAACTATACAGCCATTGTGATGGTGTGCTCTATTCGGGTGAAGAAGGTTAGTAGGGTAAGCCTCAGGCTATAGCACTAATCACGGATCACGGTCATGAGTTAGACTAAGGGCCAGATCCCACTGGCAAAGAGGATTGGAACAAGTGTCTGAATCTGGACGTGTTCCACGCAGAGATGCTGAAAAGTAGATCAAGCACAATTTTCGCATCTGTCCACAAACACGTCCACATTCAGACACTTACTACAATCCTCTTTGCTAGTGGGATCTCGTCCTAAGTACTTTATGGTGGTCCTTGACTTGGCCAATAGACTGAGCTCTAAGCATCCATGGTCTATTCAGGTGCCCCCCCTTAGTGGTTGACCCCCAGCCAATAGACTGAGAGCTCTAAGCATGCATGGTCTATTTGGGTGGCCCTTAGTGGGGCGGCTGGGGCCAAAGGGAGGCACCTAAGCAGGGTCATCAGGTAGATCTTTATGATGGACCAGGTGTGCTCTACTATCGGGCCGGCAACTTTGGGGATTTGGACCTTCCAGTCTAGCTCTTCTTCAAATGGTCTATTCAGGTGGCGCTTAGCGACCCAGGGGCATGCATGGTCTATTCAGGTGGCCCTTACTGGAGCCAAAGGGAGGCGCCGAAGCAGGGTTATCAGGTAGATCTTTATGATGGTGTGCTCTACTAATATAGGGCCGGCAACTTTGGGGATTTGGACCTTCCGGTCTATTCAGGTGGCCCTTAGTGGGCCATGCATGGTCTATTCAGGTGGCCCTTAGTGGGGCATGCATGGTCTATTTCAGGTGGCCCTTAGTGGGGCTTGGATGGTCTATTCAGGTGGCCCTTAGTGGGTGTTACCAACCAGCTTAGGGCTTAGGTCAGTTGGCACACCCACAAACTGTTGCAATACAGACCCAAGTTTGAATCCAACAGGATTAAAACTATAGTTCCTCTTGAAATGTACAGCTGTTATGATGTGGTGTGTGCTCTATTCAGGTGAAGGAGGTAGTGTAGACCTATAGCACGTGGTCCCGTACCCAGTGGGGTGTGCGCCTTTGGGGCACAAACTTAGCTGTCCAGTGCATATACATAATAAACTGCAACAGTCCGTCGTCCGTTAAAATTGGAATGATACAGAGAAGGGTAATTAGCATGGCCCCTGGGCAAGGATGACACGCATAAATCGAGAACTGGTCCAAAAAAAAGAAAAAAAAGAAAAAATTGCAACATCCATTCTTTCCCAAATTGCCCTCGATTCTTTACAACTACGACCGGGACCAAGTCCCACTT